CAGTCAACATTAATAAATTGGCGGATACGAAGTATTATGAATGAACACCTAACAATCGTAAAAAAACTCATAATTAGACATCTTTCTAAAACAGATAGATATCCTATCTTTAAGTTTAAAATTTAAAGAAGGCGTTAGTTGCTACCAAACGAGTACATGAAATACTTTTTTTCGTGCATTTTTTCCATAAAATATATTGGAACTTACAAAGGCAGTCAAAATCAGTGATAAAAATGCATACCTTTTAATTACTCACTTTTTACAGTACATCCATTTTGCAAGTGATCAGAACGAAGATCGTTAAAAAGCCCGCATCCTAGCATGACTGAACTAACTTCAGAAAAGGCTACACGATAATCAGTATCACAACCTGAGTCAATGCTGATTAGCGAAAGAGAATGAATCTGCATGTTACACGAATTCTGGCACATACTCTAAACACTTTAAGAACCCCTCACCCTAACGAAATCTCCGACCTTATCTCTTACCTCAAACCCGACTCTAAACCTGTGGTGGACTGCCATAATGCCTGTCCCCCCATTCTTTCTTCAAGGCCCACGGCCCCCAATGTCACCCATCTTTACACGCGATTGTTCCAACTCGCTGACCTTAAATCGTTTGATCATACTGTCGACCCCTCACTTTGTTCGTCGTCTGGGTGTGATTTGTAGCCGAGCTCCAGTACTCCGGCGTCCTTGTTCAAGGCCAGCTGCCTCAAGGTCATCCAGTACCTCAGACAGCGCTAACACCAATCCTCACGTTAATCCTTAACCTCAAGGCCCGGAAGTTGGCACAACGCCGCATGCATTGTGGGTTGTTCCTGTTCGCGTGCCCTGTTTAGACGGTCATAGAAGTCATTCGTCACCTTAGTTTCAATTAAATAATCATCTACTACTTCCCTTGACACAATTAGGAAGGAAATTGTTAGGCTTGATGGAATCCGGAAACTATACAACAAAGACAACGTCAACTGATTAATTCGGATCGTCCAAAACCCCTATTACTGATACAAATATTGCATAATTCAACATACGGATTGTATAAGCACTAGCTAAACGGCCTAACGCGTTTCACACCTGTGATGTTTTTGACTCATCAGCGGGTTCCCCAGTGCTTTCCGTGTGTTCGCTGGTAGATTTTCTACACTTTAAACCTACACTCGGACATACTGACCACTACAGCAATATGAAATTTTCTGCATGGTTTTCGTGCTTATAAATTAAAATATATTTAGAAGGAACAGCACGTGCAATCAATGTTTCTTATGTTCATCTTGTCTCTTCATTTATAAGTGCTGCTTAT